AGCGCCAAAGAGACGCCATTCACAACTGCCTGACGGACGGGGCAGTCGTCGGCACTTATAATACTGTATAACTCTATTCTGATTCAATTTAGTTTGCATTGGAGTCAAAGCTCAGGTAGAAAAGCAATCAAAGCACTGGAAGGCAACACAACACTTATGTTTATATGCCATACAATGTATGAAAATCTTTGTTTTCAATCCATACAAACATCTTTGCAATAGACATGTGTCTAGAGGTCAGAGTTGATCAGACAATCAAAGCCAATACACACTCCACTGCCAACTGTGGGAAAGTCAAGTCATGCGAGTAATGCTGACTCCCATTCATACGACAATTAGAGTACCACTGCATGTGTCCACTAATCAGTGATCACTCTCACTGTGCGCTACCCTTTCAATCCACTTTCAGTCCACTCGTAACCCGCTTTCTAATGGGGGTCAATGGGGGACACCTCTCATATACCTCTCATATACCCATCAATCCATTATTGATACTAATTCTAGGAAATAATGGCTCGCATTCAACCACTCGTATGGCTTTCATTCATAAATTTCTTCAAACTTATATAACAATAACTTTTCTTTTCATTGTTTATGATTAATAAAACAGCTGTAAAATAGTTCTCAACAAATATTAAATCAAATAAAAACTAAATACAATAAAAGTGAATAATACTTACAGTAATTAACTCATTTTTTGGAACCATTTTACGACTTTACCATTTTCACTAATTATACATGGTAGACTATTTTAAAATTAATTCACCATAAATTGTTATATATTCTACAATCAGATTATTTGTTTTTAAAGTTATAAATATTGTTTTTGTATACAGTAAGAAAATTATAAGAAAATGATATTTAGTACGAGTTGCTGATTTACTCATTTTAATAAATGATTATTTTTACATAAACGTATTTTACAAAATGACAAATTGGTGTAAGTACAGTATAATACAATGTATAATGCCTAGGTATAAATTATATATGTATAAACATAGTTTGTAATATTGCAAACCCTACTCAATACACAAATACCGGTAGAAACAATTGTTTTCATGTCATATGAATGGAGGGATAGATTGTGTCAATTGTGTAATGACCAAAGTTTACAACATTTTATCAAATATTAAATACAAGTATTAAAAAGTTCTCATTGAGCTAGCTCATTGATCACATCTCTGAGCAAATGAAATAAGCATTTTTAAATAATAACCTATAGCCCGATCATTGATCAATCAACTGATAAATAGTCAGATAGACATTAATGTTAAAATAGTTTATATTAAAAAGTCACGAATGTTTCAAATAATGCGATAAAGTGCTGTCAATTTAATGAACATGCCTCGTCTAAAATAACAATTCTGTTTAATATGATTTATAATGATTAAAATACAATCAATACTTTTAATGGAAAATTATAACCATTCTATGGTATTATTTTTACTATATATGCTTGTAGTAAATGAAATTGGATAAAACTAGCTGAAAACTAAATAAATAAAACTAAATCTAAAATAAGAGCATTTAATAATGCTTTCAATTTGTGGTATAAATGATAAATTTTAAACAAATTGAAAATATCGAGGGAAAAAAGTCTAAAACATGGCTATAATATAAATTATATTAATAATCATGGATTGCATAAAATATAAATGATATTTTCTTAAAATGAGAAAATTGAATCTCAATGTATTTCCTTTAGTGTCTCACACAAACTTTACTTACATTCGTTTATTTACATTCAATTGTATACAGTATAGTATTTACCGGTAATTTTAATTATATTAATCGATTTTGAGTTAAACATACGGAGCAAATCACTCGTCATAATAAATCGATATGAAAATATGAATATTTTTATGTACACTAATAATATAGAAATTGTGTTAAAATAAATATTCATAGTTTTTAAGACTTATTGTTTTGCAAAGAATATGAAATAATGATTGAATTGCTTTTGTAATATAGTTTGAATCGGAAGATGATCTGCCGGTATGCGAGTCGTGGTCGGTGTGCAATAAATTAGATACGTATTCGACTCCATGGGTAGAGAGACAGTGCCGATGCTCTGGAACTAAGTCTTGTTCAACATCTTTGGACACTAACGATGGCCACACATTAGGCGATAAGTCCAGACAATTCAAAGTAAGCACTCAATTGAATGTTCAAAATAACTGACAGCAAAATAATACTAATATTAATATTTCACGTAAAGCTTTGCGAACCGATAAACAAACTTCCAATTTGTCGCTATTTTCGAGACATAACGTGGACTCTGACCACTAATGCAGACAATACCACCACTCAGACTGTTAACTGTGTCTGTCCTAAGAATAGTGTGGCCTATATTTTCAAACATCAAATATTCAAGTCATCCAAAGTGGGCACTGGATATAAATATCTGTTCGCCTGCTCTCCAGAAACGGTATGTTTTGGTCATTAATGTTATTATAATTATTCTCAATACAAGTCTAAACCAAATGTTTTATTTTATTCAATTCAAAAGGCGTTTGATTAAAGTTTGAGAAATTTAAAACTTTAATTTCATGCTATGCTAATAAAAAACTAAAATATTCATTTATGTAATTTACTGAATAAGTGATCGAGAATGTTTTTAAACATTGTTTGAAATAATGTATAGAAGAGATAATATGAATAATGAAATGTATTAATGAATGTATTATATTGTATAATGTGTTGGCAGAGGTTGAGATGTGAGCGCAAAGAGCCGTGTCGTCTCTTCACTGTACGTAAAAGACCAGATGTGGAAGAAGTGAATACTAACACCCTTTGTCAGTGTCCTCAGGGATATGTGTGTCCCACACACCACAAAGAAGCCAATGTGATAACTGCCGGAACAGTTTATGGTGTCGATCATATTAGGACATACAGCGGCTACTGTTCCAAACCAGTCAAGTGAGCCTTATTTGCACTAACAATACACAACTCGACATCATTTCTAATCAATTTATGTCTTATTTTCCTATTAGAAAAACGGACGACAACTCTATTCTTGATTTACAGACTTTAAAATGAAATTTGTGTTTAATTTTGTTTGTTTACAAAACTAATACTCAATACAAATCATCGGCTCTTCATATCGACTAAATTATTAGCAAAGAATTGCATTTTTGTTTTAATTTAGATATATTATTGTACCTCAAAATATTAAACATGTGTTTTTCATTCCCATTGCTAATGAGTATTGATTAGGAAAAACGTGTCATTTATTAACTGTTTTCAAAACTACTCATTTCAAAACCAACTCGTTATGAATTTTATTATTTTTATTATTGTATAAAATAGATTTTGTTGATAATTATTGTAAATTTAGTCTTTATTTTTCTAATTTGTAAAATAATATGAATTATAATAAAAATTAAATTTTTTAATAAATTACTAAATTATCGCATCAAATGTTCCCCTCATTAAACAAGTTATGCAAACTTATACAGTACACACAGTATTGCACTGAAACTATTGAATATAATTTTATGGCTTTACTGTAATCACTCAAACAACTATTCCTTAAGAACTAGATTTAAATTTGATTTATTGTCCATTTTGTCACAAGTTATTGGCATATATTACTTCTGTGGTAAACATACAGTAAACAGTGTTTTGTAATATTGAATATAATTTAATACAAAATCAGAGAAATGTGTTGTTTATGCCTGCTCAAATTATATATTGCAGTGAAAGAATAAGATAATTCCAAGTTCAATAATATTATTTATAAATATGCATGATACTAAACTGTAAATTATGTTAGCTGTGATTTAGTAATTGTATAAAATGAAATTTACATAAATTAAAATGAATTAAATGCAATTACAGTGCAAAGTACATAATGTATAATAAAATAGAAAAAATACTAGATAAAAATAAGAAAATGTACAATATTTAAATGTCGATTAAACAATTATTGATTACTTTATCGTTAGCTTTCAAATCAAAATACTTATATGAGATTGTAATAAAATAATTGGGTTCTCATATCAAAAGTATTAATCAAAACTAAATTATATTCCAACCGATGATAACACAATTAATATGATGTTTATATACAATGAGATATTAGATAATAATCCCAAACAACTCCTTGTCTTAAAATATATAATAAATGATTTATAAGATATTAATTATGAGTTTTAAAGAATTTCATTTAATACAGGATTTGACTAAAAACCCC